CTGCTGAAGCCCAGTGTGAATAAGGGTGTGTCTGTAACATCACTTGCAATTATGCAGAATAAGTTATTTTCTCTTTATCAGCAGAAAAGTTTGAGCTTTATAACTTACAGAGGCACATCAAAACCAGGGCTGATCATTAAGCAAATAATTTCCGTTAGCTGATCTTGAAGGCTACTTAGTTTTCACGTCTCTTGGTGGTATCTGGTATTTGAACCCCAAACCTCTACGTTTTCTGCTTCATGCATTGGAAACACAGACATAGGGTGCTGCCCTGAAGATGAAAGAAGAAATTTATGCTGCAGCTATCAATTAATGTGGACTTTGGTCTCTCTCTTTCTTTTAATACTGGGCTTTCCTAGAAGTTACAGCCAATTGCGTGGAGAAGGGCGGGGATGGGATTTTAACCTGGGAAAGAAAATAAACAGAGCTATCCTTTCATCGCAGCATGACTACGACATGAGGGTAGACGATTTTCTTCGCCGCACGCAAGCAGTTGTCAGTGGTCGGAGAAGCAGGCCTCGCGAGAGGGACCGAGAACGGGAGCGAGACCGTCCTAGAGATAATAGAAGAGACAGAGAACGTGACAGAGGCCGTGATCGGGAAAGAGAGAGAGAGAGGATTTGTGACCGGGACAGAGACAGAGGTGAAAGAGGTAGATACCGAAGATAATCCATCTGGAACCAGTGGTCACTTGAAACAAAAAAAGCTTGTATTTTTTTGTGTGTTTACAAGTAGTACATTTTATTTTCAGCTGTCTCCTTAAAGTTCGTTGTGTAGAAGGATTTATAATGACCCTCTTTATTCCAAGCATGCAGTGAACTACAAACTGGAAAAACTCAAATCGGCCAAAAATAGAATACACAAAGCTGACACTCGAGTTGACGTTTTTATTGGAGCAGAATGGGAAACAAGTTAAGAATGTAGATATTGATTAATTCTCAGTAAGTGTTCATCTACTTAGTGACTTCATTCTAGGTTTTTGAATACTGATGGATAACTGCCTTTTTCTTTTTTTTTTTGCTTTGATGTTTTCTTACCATAGTTTCACGTGGTTCAGTGGGAAAATGCTGCTATCAAGTATGCGAATGTTGGAGTATGATTTTTGACTGTATGGCAGTGTTGTAGCAGCCTCATTTCCCCCCCCTCCCCCCGGGTTTTTAAACTTACCTGTAAAGTCAAGTGTTTTTTCAGTCTTCAATAATGAAAGCAATATTAAGAAGACACTATTGATACCTAATTTTTAACCTTTTTTAAAAACCTTCCCGCATTCAGTAACACTTTGGTCAAGTCTCTTGTCTAGCCTCCTTCCGAAATGTACACGTTGCTTGGAATGTTCACAACCTGCGTGTGTGGAACCAGAAAATATTGCTGTATTCTACATTGCTACCATTTTTTATAAAAATAAATTGGTAACTATTGAAACGATTAAAACTCCAGTTCGGGTTTCTTGGTCTTCTAAGCTTGCCAGCATTGACAGGTTCTGACAGTTCTAGGAAGGCGTTTGTATTCAAAAATGGTTTAAACCTGCTTGCAATAGGTGAAGTTGATCCAGAAGCCTGAATTCTGTGAAAGAACTGCTGAAGTAAAAGGTAAATGCTTTTCTGCTTCTACAGTTAAGTAGTCAACCTATTAACTCTGATCAGCTGCAAGATCTGTAAAGCTATACCCGTTCAACTTAATCAAATGATCTTAAAGCTCTTAGTAGACTGTCCTCAGGTATAATCATATCTGTCTCCTAGGAGTGCATTCTCCTACAAGGTCCAGACTGTCTCCACGTTTCTTCTTTGTAGTGACTGCTACATCACTTGCAAATTCTCTTAATGAGGATATATTTGAATGTAAATGCCAATGGCAAAACTGAACAAAGAAAAGTAAAACTTGTAGCTGAAGTTGTTGAGTTTCTCCAGCAAGTTCCCAGCTATCAAGACTTGTCTGTGTAGCACTGCCAAGGTGGACTACTTCATAAACTTTAAGAATCTTCTCACATAACAAAGCTACATTGTAACACATGCTTTGAAGACCTCCGACTCCACTGTGCTATTTCTGAATGTTCTCATTTTCTGTTTTCAGAAACTTCAATATAGGATTGGCTATGGTGTGATAGAGAAACGCCTGTTTGTTTTAGAACTGACAATGATTTGAGTTTTGTATATTTTAGTGTGTATATAGCTGTAGTAAACATGGCCGTGTGTTATGCAAAGTATTTGACCTCCAAAATCAGAACTCTTTCTTAAACATTACAAGATGTCGAACGTGTTACAGTTCTTCAAAACAGTTTACTATGCCACGAGGGATTTGCCTATCAGTAGTAGGATTAGATCAATCTTACAAATTCAATATGCTTACTGAACCTAGTTGAACAAATGCATCACAGACATAGCCTGCGTTATTTGAGATCTTTCTCCTCTTTATCTTGAGATTCTGGAAAGAAGATGGGTCTCTTAATTGGGGGGAGGGTTGTTTGGGGGATTTCTGTGGTTTTTTTGTTGTTTTTGTTTTAATTCAAAACTAGCTAAGCTGAACTTCTCTGAAGTAAGTTACTGAAAGGAAGCCACTCATGTAAGTGACTGCAGAGACCTTACCTGCCCACTTTTCCTAGCTTTCCTATTTCCCCATGTCCTATGTTAATATTCTATGACTTGTCAGTACATTGGAGACTACTGGCCTTATGAAAGCAGAATTGACATCCTTGTGTTCCTAGGGCCTAGCTCTCCTCAGCAGATCTGCCTGCAGAACGCAGATGATAGCAGTCTATTCTTCATGAAGCTTAGCGGAGACCCGTTTCATTTTCTAACGGATACAGGCAAACCTTTCTGATCTGAGGCCTGGAGGTCGTATGGTTCGTTCTACAGTCTGTTCACTGTCGCGTGCTTCTGGATATCCCAATGTGACCGTAAGAACAGTTTTTACCAGAATAACCTGGATTCTGATTCATCATGAGAACCGCTTGCAAAAGTTGTTGTGTTTTAACCAGTCTTTAATTTGGAAACAAATCACTTATGCTTTGAAGGTTTTTTGAGCAGACACAAAGCTGAAGCTATTAAAGAAGCCAATGAAGAGGTTAATACAATGTAGGGAATTCTGTTATGTAAACCAAGATAAGATGTTTTCCTAGCCTGCTGTGTTTGAAAACAAGTGTTCAAATTTCTTTATGCTGCTTAAGGCACATGTAAGGCAACTGCAGGGCTTATGTACTGCAGTATCCTGAGTGCAGCAAGGGTCACAGTTTTAACGGGGACTTGTGCCAGCTTACTGAAGAAAGCGTAACAGTGGAGCAACCTTACCTAGAACAGGAGGCCAGAACTAGAGTCACTTTTGCAGGCTTTTCAGTTCTACTTAACAATTTCAAAAGTGCTACATTTAATACCAGTCTAACGGAGGGTATTTCCTGTCTGCTGTTTCAGGCAAGACAAGTGACTGGTGCACTGTTTCTGTGCATGATACTGCTTGCAAGGACAACCTGTAGAGTTTTTCTGCGTTTGGCAAAGATACACTGCAACGTTTAGCATGGCCTAGAGGCGTTTGGGGCTTAGAAAAGAGCCAGTTACTGACTGGTGGAGGTTGTTTTCTCACTCCTGTTGAGTGGTGCAGTTGGAGTGGTGGTCTGTGCAACAGCACACCAAGCATATTGGACAGGAAAGAGAAATAGTTCTCAAAGACAAGTCAGCCATTTCTGCTGATTTTAGCATTTAGATGTACTTTGTCCCCTCTGTTCTCAAGTAGTCAGTGCTTTTGCAAAACAGTGATACAGACCTCACCATCTAGCTACAGTCCCAATTTCTCATGACCCTAGCCTTCTGGGTGAGTGCTTTTGAGGAGCCTATGATCTTAGTTTGTAGTCCAACCTTGAAGGAGGTAGTCTGACAGGAGAGACATTTTGGTTCTGAATCATTAAGTGTGGATGATACAGAGAAGGAAGGAGTTAAGTGTTAGGAGACTAGTCCCAGATGCAGGGACAATAGCAAAACACCTGGAACATTGTATTTCTGCAGCATGCCACAGTTCATTTGAAAATTCAGAGCAGCATTTACCATTCTAGGAACCTTGTGTAATCAGCTGACATGGCTCCAAGGGATTAAGCAACTATAATTCAATCTTATTTGGGCCAGAGGGAGTTTACTGTAAGCAACAGACTAGCTAAGCAAGCAGCTCTGCTGCAGAACTGCTTTTTAGCACATCCCTTCCAAAAGGTACTTCTTGATATGCCTGGTATAAAGCATAGCCTAGTAATTCTGTTCATTGAGGAACGTGCATAAATGCCTGGCTGAAGTGGCCTACGAGGAGTTCTGCTGGGAACAGCATGTCTATTCTTTCTTCTTCTTTGTGACTCTGCCACGTTTCTTGCAGCAGAATAAACAACATTTGACAAGAATGAAGACTGCAGCAGCTGCACAGGCAAACAAGAATGCCAGAACATCCAGGCAGTGGTACTGGTACCAGGTGAGATGGTGAGAAGCTGGTCTCAAGTGCTTTGCTCCTTTGTGACGCATAACAAATTCAATCCAGAAGACGGCTCTGTCCAAAGGCTTTATCGGCTGGTCATGATGAATCCTGGATAACCTCAGAGCATTCTCCTTATAGCTGAGGAAAAAAGAAACCAAGGAGATTTGTCATTAGTTTCTGAAAGAGCCCATTCCTCAGCTGGCTGTCCTGTGGAGGAACTGTTAAAAGATAGAACCTTGCCTTTATTTCCATCCATGTTATTTAAATATATTTGAAACTAGCTCAGTTTGCTCCTATCTGTGTCAAGTTGGATTATGAACTGTAATAGAGAAAGCAAGTCTTTTGCAAAGGAAAACTACTTCAGTTATTGCTTCAAACAACCAGAACAAAAAAAAAAAAAAAAAAGAAACATTTGCAACATTTTCTGTTTTGGTGTAATGTAGCTTCCATAACCACTATCCTAAGGCTATTGGTCACTCAAGGGTAAGAAAACAGAATAGTCGTGGCTCCCAGGTAAAGAAACCATGGATGACTAGCATTGTCACCCACAGCCTCCCAAGACTATAATAGCAATGAACAAGGAAGAGAGAAAGCAGAAAACTATCTCGGAAGCTGCTCTGGGCTTTCCCAGACCGATCTTTCTCAAAGGGATCATAAAAATACAGTATCAAGAAAATGGAATTACTGATCTTTTCTCAGAGATGCTGATTTGCAGAAAATAGAGATACCTAATATAAAGACCGTCAGGTTTTGTCAGAGAGCCATCCAGTTCCAGCTCATCAGTATTTTGGGCTCCCGGAAGAGCCGGCAGAATTTCTCGCATCAACAACCCAAGATTTTAATCGCCTGATCCTGCTGTTAGGCAGGAACAAAACTCACGTGGAATTGTTAATGACTGTATTCAGTGCATCAACTAGGTCCTGTGTCTTCAGTGTGCTGAAATCCAGCTCAACTGCAGCTCCCTTTGCCCTCATGTGAGCGATGTTGTCATGCTGGTCAGCAAACATGGGAATCCCGACCAAAGGGACTCCATGGTAGATAGCTTCGTAGATCCCATTGGTCCCGCCATGAGTAATGAAGGCCTTAGTCAAAGGATGGCCTGGAACAAGGAAGGACAGAAGCATGTAACAGCAGCTGCTGCACACTATGTTCACTGGGACGTGAGCACTGCAGACCACCTGGGCAAACGTGTTGTTAGAGGAGGGAACAGCTCTGACCACTGGATAGGCATCTGAGCTTGCGCACTGCTTAGCTTCCCCACGTTCATGTTTGAATGCCGTGAGTAAGTCGCAGCGTTCCTCCAGCCCATCTTTATTACTCCAGCCATTCTGTCATCTTTTGCAATTGTTCTAATTTTCCTATGGTCTCAAATCTCTGAGCTGCAGGTTCACAACTGCCCCTGCCATAACCTTTCTAGGTCAAATGTTTTGAAGAATGAGCCCAGGAGGGAAGCTGCAGAGGCCAGATCCAGCTCCAGAGTGCCTGCCTAGTTTGATATTTACCCTTGCCTACAGGTGGTTTTTAGCCTTCCCAGGTGAAGGCCTCCAGACTCTGTAAAACAGAGGCTTTTGCTTTAAAGATTCTTCTTTATAACTAATATCAAGTTGCTGCCTTCTTGAGCCATCTCTCCTTACTCCCTTTGCTGTCTGGCTCTGACTTCCGTGGTTCTTGTAAAGCTAGTCACCTTGAGGTCAAAAGTAGCCTTTGCGTTAGGAAATTAAGGTTAGAAGAGCAAACCTGGGATGCTTAAGGTACAGAACTAATTGTAGCTGCAAGTGTTAGGTGGCTCGTTTGCATGAATAAGCCATTCTCTTTTAGTTTTGGTGGAAAAACAAAGGAGGAAACTGTTTTTCCAAGGACTAAACCAAACTGGGATAAAATCATTCTCACCAAGCAGATCATTTTGAGGTATCCAGTCATAAATCCTGGTGTTGGAGCCCAGGGTTTCTGGTTTTCTTCCTTTGTACCGCCAGAGAACCTTGAACAAAGGACGGTTAAGATAAACGTATTGCATTTGACGTGCCCTTCTGCGTTCTCACCTATTGTGGGTCCTTATCTCAAAGGCATACCCTTTTTCCCAGTGATTCAAATAACTTGTGCTCCAGTTTAGCTTATTGATTAGTTATTATGTACTGTCTACATAGGGTGATTTTTACATTGTGGCCTGTGGACACACCTCCCTGTGTTTTGGTTCAGAGAGGGGAAAGCACTGCATGAGGTGACTCAGCAGTCTGCCTCTGCAAAGCCCATCTTCCTGGACATGAAACAATCAGCAGAGATGCAGATAAAAATCAGGCCTGTCAAACTGCAAATGGCTTACTGAATGCAACAGTGACCAAAAAATGAGGCAAGTTATGTTTTAGACTGAAAAGAAATTTACCTTTTGTGGAAGCTGGCTGAGGGCGCTAGCAATTATATTACTTTTTTCATCAGTTAGGTTATGGACCATCGATCCAAGAGAAAACACCACAATGCCGTGTTCTCCTGCGCTCTGAACAAATTCTTCCATTTCCTAGGAGAGGCAGAAAGCATGCTAAGCGTAAACGTGCACTGCAAATTACACAGACTTATGTAAACAGAGCACAATCTATTTAGTTTATCAAGGAGATGACGATGGTATATGAGTACCTCCAGTGAGAGGAGGCTGGCCTCCTTGTACCTGGCCCTATACAAAACAGTTTCTCCCCAGGAAAGAGCAGGATGAGCATTAAGATGAGCGTAAAGATGGAAGCCTTGTCTCTTATAGAAGCAAATTGAATAGTTTCAGGACATGTTTCTCTGAGAG